TGTGAGGCGCCGCAGCCCGCCCCGTGCCGGGTTTGGGCCCGAGCCGCCCGCGGGCCGGCGGGGCGAGCGGGGGGCAGCTGGAGGGCTTTTGCGTGGGGTGGGGATTTAAACGTAAAAACGAGTCCCACATGTGTGGGAAGCGGCCGGGCCGCTACTGGGCGAGCTGCTCCCGCCAGGCAGGGCTTCGCTGGTATTTGTATGGAAGGCTCCTTAGGCCCAGGGTGTGAGAACGCAGCTGCTTTGCAAGAGAGACTCTTGATTGTTATTGTAGTCTGGTTTGAGTACTCCAAAGTTTAGATTATCCCTGAGAGGTTTAGTATGCGTGCTCCAGTATTAATTCCAGTGTTTATAGTGTGGATTTTTGAATGGCCCTGGCATGTGTGTGGTGAGTATAACACCGTATTTGGTCCATGATCGTGTACAGAATTTTCTTTGCAAGCTTGCTTATCATCCATCTTTTTTGTTTAGATTCTGGATCAGTTACACCAACCTGTCTCCTCGTTTTCTTATTTCTCTAGGTTTTTTTTCTCTTCCAGATCCTACAAAACTGACTGCTGTTCCTGTGTTTTTTAGTGTGCTCATAAAACTTAGAGGATTTTGCAGCATGAGCAGTGGTTCTGCTCTCTTTCCTAAGACTGTTTCAGGGAGAGAAGGAATACTTAACAGAGGGACTGTTTTGCATGTTGCCTTTTTGTCTCCAGAAGAGGCCTGCTTACTTCCTGTGGCAGCTCTCATTGTCTTGAGCTTCTCCAGAAGAGAAGCAACTAGGAGTAAGGCATTGAGGAAGAAAAACCAATGTAAAACCAACATGTGGAATTGTGCTTTGAGCAACGTGTTCTAGTAAAAGTGAAACTGGATGATCTCTAAGGTCCCTTCCAGCCCAAACCATTCTATGGAAACTTGCTCCATCCATTATCATAATTTAGAAATTTTCTCTTTTGAAAATACAACCAAAGTCCATTTCTGTTTAAATTGTGTTTTTTTTGTTTGTTTGTTTGTTTGTTTTTTTTCCCAGCAGATGGAATACAAGGAAAAACAGAAAAGATAAAATCTTCCCTGAAAAATGTGAGAAAAGACACAGGAAAACCAGAGAAACTCAGATTTAAGCCACTCACTGGGAAGGTGTTTTACCTCGATATCCCATCAAATGTGATCTCTGAAAAGTTAGGAAAGGACCTTAAAGAGTTGGGAGGGGTAAGTTAATAATAGAGACTTGTATGAACTTAGAAGGAAATGTGCATATGGACATAATAGGATATGGAATGTCTTTTTTGTGTTGTTTGTAACTACATTTTAATGTTATTTGCAGTTATCTGAGATGGGGTCTTATTTATCTGTGTTTCTCTTAAACTTTAGTACAAACAGTGAGCTTACCAACAAATTATTCTGTGGG